TGTCTTGCCTCACACTTTCATGATAATTTGAAAAGGGAAAGAATTTTAATCAGAACTAGGAATTGTGTAATCCTTAGTAATTTGGAGAGACAAGGCACTGCTGTAGTCCCTGTTCCCGGGAAGCAGAGGCAGGAGGAGCGCCATGAGTTGGAGGCCAGCCTGAGCTAACTAGTGAGACCCTGTTTCAAACAAACCAGAACAGAACAAAACAAAGAAGGCAAAAGAAAAGGAAAAAGACGGAGAAATTTTGAGAGTATTGATCTTTTGTCTTCTTGCTTTCAAGATTGGTGTCGAGCAGCCTGGAGCCATTCTGCTCCTGATCTTTTTTTTGTGACTTTTTTCTGCCTTTCTGGAAAGAAGAGGAACACCCAGTGTGGGGTGTTTTCCTTTCTGAGGGGCCCCTGTAGGATTGACTGGGTCACGCAACTTGTGTCTCAATTATGGAAAATTCTTCTTCTTTTTCGTTTGAGACTCTGTTGCCCGGGCTGGCCTTGAACTCCTGGACGCAAGCACTATTGTTTCAGCCTCTTGAGTAGCTGGGACTACAGATTTGCACCACGGTGGCTGTTTTTCTTCTTTTTCTTAATGAACTTTCTATGAAGTTTTAAGATTGTAAACATTTCAGACAACACAGTAATTGTACATATTGATGTGGTACAGTGTGGTATTTTAGTGCTTGTTTTATAACATAATGATCAGATCAGGTTAATTGGCATATGCATCAGCTCACTTAGAATTTCTTTGTGTTGGAACATTTAAAATCCTCTTGCTGGCAGTTCTGAAGTACACAGTTAGTTGTTGTGTTGATTATAGTTCCCCTCCTGTGCTCTGCAGCATTGAACGTGGTCGTGCTGTCCAGTTCCAACCCAGGACCCGTTAATTGTCCTCTGTCGTTTGCACCCTCACTCTGACATCCTCTTCTTCACTGTGAGTCTACTGTTTACTTCCGTGAGGCCAGCGGGCTGGTCCCTAGGTATAAGTGGTATTTGTGTTTGATTTATTTCACTTATCTTCCATGTTGCTAAAAATGGTATTTATTTACTTATTTGTGTTTTTGAGACAGTCGTCCTGTGTAGTCAAGCTGGCCTTGAACTCACTGTAGCTTAGGGGGCCGCAGACTCGGTGATCCTCCTGCCTCAGCCTCCTGAGTGCTGGGATTACAGGCGTGCGCCACTGTGCCTGGCTTGTGGATGCCTCTTTGATTCCTCATTCGTTTCCTTTGGATGTATGCCCAATACTAGGATCGCTGGATCATCTAGTAATTCTGTTTCCAGTCATCTTTTGAGTTTTGTATTCCTGCCATCATGATTGTGATTTCTAGTTCATTTTTGCCTTTTCTTTCTTGTTTGTTTTGTTTTGTCTTTTTGAGACAGGGTCTTGCTATGCAAATTAGCCTGGCCTTGGGCTCACTTTGTAGCCCAGGCTGGCTTTGAACTTGCACCGGTCCTCCTGCCTCAGCCTCCTGAGTGCTGGGTCCTTATTATTCTTTTAATGTGTCACATTCTCGTTTCATGGATGTAGTATCTTCTCCGTGCACAGAGTCTGTTTTCTCTAAGTACTTTTGTTGTTGGGCTTCGTTTGGGTTTGCTTTTGACTTACTAGTTTTGGTTTCTGTCATCCAAGTTACAGGCCTCCTCCGAATGCCTGGTGGTGCTTCCTGGGCTGGGAACCGGCGAGCAAAATTCTGCCTGGAAACTGAGCACGATGGCGGGCCAGGCCCGCTTTTCGGTCCGTGCTGGTTGACTCCCCAAGTTGCTTGGTCCCCATTTTGATACTGATGGCAGTATTGGCATTCATAGGCCGCTTCTTTTAGACTCAAAAATCTAATGAAACTCTGGCTTCCATTAGTTTCCAGCCCGGTGGGGGAACAGCCTGGGGGACCCCATATCAGCCTTTTACCTGCTCCTTGGCTGCATATGTCACCTTTGCTCCCAGCTGTGTGAGAGAGCTCTTTGTGCAGTAACCTCTTTTTGTTGTTTGTTTATTTTGAGACAGGGTCTCACCGTGTGATTCAGGCTGGCCTTGAACTTACTCTGTACCCCAGCTGGCCTCTCGCTCAAAGCTGTCCTCCTGCCTCAGCCTCCTGAGTGCGGGGGTTACAGGTGTGGCCCCCACGCCCAGTGATAACCCCTTACGCACCCTCTGGAGAATATGGATGAACCTTCAAACTTCTGGGCAAAGTAGGAGAAGGGATTTTCCTTCCTGCCTGCCTTCAGCCTCTTTATTTTCCTATATGCAGTTCTTCATCCTGTTTCCAGACTGCCTGTGTCCGCTCAGGACTGTGTTTTGTAAATCAGCTTTTACATTCCTGCCTCAAATTAGGCTGTCACAGCCTGTGTTTCCAGAGCTCAAAAATGTGTAGTAGTGTCTCTTCTCTCGTTAGCTCAACCTTGTGATTCCGCGTCTCCTTTCCAAATCTTTCTGCTGGGTTGGGAAGTAACGGAACGTGGTGTATAGTGGTTGGCATTATCCTTCCACAGTAGTTTGGGTAATGGAGTGGGGATGGCAGTGATTCCAGCATGTTCCTGTGACGGGATTTCTTAAACATTTTTGACTCTTTGTTTTACGTTATTCACCGTCCCTGTGGACATGTAAAGTATCAGGGAGAAAAGAAAAGTTGCTATTCCTGCAGGAGGCGCCCTGGTGGTGCTGCTGTGGTGGCCCCCTTAGTTTGGGTGAGGAGGTAGGGTGGTGCCACAGTGGCAGGGCCGTGATGCCTGGTGGACCTGTAGGGCTGGGCGGAGACCACGGCCCCTGGGCAGCTCCTCCTGTCAACTGGAGGTGGGCAGAGCTGTGTCCAAGTCCCGGGACCTTGGTGACTGAGCGGGACGCACATACGGGATGACTTTAGGTGACCTTGAATAATTTGGGGGACCACCTTTGGACACAACTGGTCCACTGAACAAAAAGGACCTAGGATTGACCCAGGTCAGCTGCGTTTTCTGTGAGGAGAGTTATGTAGCTCAGAGGTCAGAGACTTGGGTAGGGGAGGAAAGGGAGGGAGAAACATTTCCTTTCCTTTCTGGGGTGTCTGTCCTTGGGGTCAAAGCCCCGAGATGTTCTGTTTTTCCTGCGTCCTCTCCTTTCGGGGCTCAGACATTCTCTGAGGCTCCCCGGGTAGCACCTCTGTCGAACTGGGGTCCCTTTGGCGTCACAGGTCTCAGAGTAGCACCGAGATAATTTTTGTTTTTTGATTTGTGCCCGGGGCTCCCCAGTTCCATCTGGGGGTCCTGTGGGTCCCCAAGCCTTGTCTGCTGTGTCCCTCTCCACCTTGCTACCCATGGGGCCTCGGCGGCACGCAGGTGAAAGTTGAAAGAGGTCTAGCCAGGTCAGCTTTCCCATGTGAGGGCCAGGGAAGCCCCATCAGGACCAGAGCTCTCGCCTGTCACTCTGGGCCCAGTGTTCTTCCCTCTTCTAGCCTTGGCCTCCTTTCGAAGGTTTTGACTTGGGGGTGTTCAGAGTCCAGAGCTCTGGGTTCAGGTCTTGGAGAAGCCTGATTGTTCTGAGCCTCAGATACAGCTGTAAAGTTTAAGTGCCGCTCAGTGCTCACATGAGGAATGTGTGTGTCACGTGTCTAGCACAGGGTCAGACGCGGAGCCACTGTTGCTGTCCACAGGGTCAGGTATTTGGGCAGCTCACAGTCAGCCAGCGCTGTGCCATGCCTAGGGGTGTGGGAAATAAGACACATCACCATGGGGCCTCCTGGGGTGCAGCTGTGGGCCACGGGGTCTTTCCAGGCAGTCTGGGTTTCTCCGTTCTGGGGCTCTTCCTGTCCAGGGCCCTAAGAGGGCTCCTCCCAGCTCCTGCTTCCTCCTGCTGGTCCTGGTGCAGAACCCGGGCTCCTGGGCTGTCACCCACCCCTGGTGAAGGCGGCGGGCCCATGGGAGAGCCAGGCCTCTGCCATCTCCAGTTCTGGTTTTCCAGGGAGCCCTGGCCGGGCTTGGAGGGGATGGGAAGAAAAGCCCAAGAAGGAGGGGAGCAGGGGAGCAGAACGGGAACTGCAGGGGAAGGAGGGTGTGGGTGGCCCCGATCCAGCCTGCCTCCGACTTTCCTGCTGCTGCCAATCCCCTCCCTGTCGCTCATCAGAGGCAGGGGCTTGGCACGGTGGCCTGGGGTGGGAGCTGGAGGCCTCCGCTCCTCGGGAGACGGGCAGCACCCCCACTCCAGCTGTGGCCCCCAGCTCTAGCTTTGTTACTGCGCTGTCTCGCCCACACCTGGAGCAGGGAGAAAAAGCCCCTAAAATTCAGCTGGGTGGCTTTGAGGCCAGCTTTCACCCCACCGTGAAGGCTGCCGGGCCAGTGGTGGGGTGTGGAACAGCCGCTCAGGCCTCCCCAGGCAGCCCTGCCGTGGCCGTGGCCGTGGCCGTGGCTCTCCCCACCCGGCAGCCCCGGAGAGCAGACGCAGAGCAAGCAGGCCTTCAGCCTGGCCCGGCCTGCACTCACGCCCGGCCCTGAAGTGAGGTGACATTCATCTCACTACATCCTGTGACTGTGCTCACTTCCTCCACGTGGCCGGCGGTGTGGGGGCGGGCGTCGGGTGAGGACAGACTAGGAGGAAAATGGAGCCTGACTGGGGGGCCTCTGGGGGAGGCTGGGGTTTCCCAGGGGCAGCTTGGGGTGGGAGGCAGAGTGCAGGAAGCCTTCAAAGGATGGAACGGATGTACGCGAAGAGAAGGGAGGAGCGGGAGGCAGCTGAGGTCCCAGAAGTGGCACCCGCGGCACACGGGGACTGGAGGCCCTGGCGAGGCTGCTTCTGCCCCCAACTCTCAGGCTGCTCCCAGCAGGCACCTCGAGGGCAGCCTGCCAGTGCTGCTGGCTGGGCCTGCCTCAGTCTCCCTCTCGGGGTGCTGGCGAGGACGGGAGGAGGAGGTAAGGTCAGAGGCAGGGGACCTTACGGGCCAGGCTGGCCAGGGGCGGTGGTCTAATTGTAGGGACAGGCTGAGGGCCAGGGGACCCAGGTCTGGCCTTCTGTCCTGCTGACCTGCTTCTCTTCCCCCACAGGTGGAGCCATCAGAAGCCCGAACCCACAAGAAAACTGAGGCAGGTCTCACCAGCGGAATCAACACCAAGCTCTATGTTTAAGTTTTAACTCCTGCTTACTAAGACCACGATAATTCCTTCCCCAAAGCCCAAAAGTCCCCCAGCCCCGCGCAGCCCCAGCCTGCCGCCCACCGCCCAGCTGCCCGCAATGCCCTCCAGTGGCCCTGGGGACAGCTCCGCTCCGGAGCGGGAAGAGGATCGAAAGGTGAGAGCTGGCTTTTGGGGTGGGGGTACACTTGGCTGATGTCCCGGGAGGAGGAGGGGCCCTGTCCCACATAGTGACCTCAGGTGTGCACAATGCTGCCTCCGAGTAGCTCTGCGTGTGACATGGCCTTAACAACAGGCTGGTGGGAACCATCAACATCTCAGAGTTGGTGATGGAGAAACTGAGGCTTGGAGAGTTTAGATTCTGGTCATGGGACAGGAGTTTAAACCCAGGGGTTCTGGCTCTCAAACCCCAGCTTTTGACTACCGTGGAGTGGCGCATAGGCCTGTGCGGGTGTGAGGGGTCAGCCACACAGAGACAGTCCCCAAGCCTGGACGCCTCTTTGAATTTGCCTCTTACCAGCTCCGTGTCCTCAGGTAACCCCGCACCACTCTGCTCTGGCTGCCGCTGTGCCCCAGGGTGTGTGGCAGCTTCCTGGAGGCAGCGTGCCCACACAGACACACCAGCACTGTGCTGCAGCCCCGTGTCAGCAGCCAGTGACACCAGTGGCCCTTGGAAATGGCAGTTCCCAGTCCACCACCCTGGCCCGGGAGTATCACCTGGTAACACTGGGGCTTAGGCTGTAGTGACTGTGTTTTCAGAGCCCTGTGAGAGGTGACCTCTTTATCTGTCTGCTGAACTCTAGTGGGGCTTAATTCAGCCAAAGGGGCTTCATCAGACTGATAGACCCCCCTGCAGGATCCCCACAAATTGCCTGGAGACCTTCCGAGCTTTGCACACCCGTAGGAGAAGCTCCCTCTAACCCCAACACTCGGGACTCTGCCTTCCCTCTGTCAGTAAGTGTGACTTCAACCCTTTAGTGCAGCTGTGCCAGCCGGCTCTTCCTGGCATGGCTTCGCAGTTCCCTTGCCCGTGCCCCTTGCCCTGAGTCAGTGTGAGGGCTCTTGATCCTTGGTGGTGTCCAGGAGTAGCAGGGCCTGTTCTTCGGGAGCGAGAGTGGGCTCCTGGGACCAGGCATGGGGCCTCTGGGCACCCTCGGGTGGGAGGTAGCCCAGTGGCCCTCCCTTCTCGGGTGTCTGTTCCGCCCTCCTGGCACGGCTGTGGCCCTGCCTCACACATGCTCTGCGCCTTCCTGGGCTCACTCAGTCTAAGAGTGTGTTTATGTTTTCTGGGTGGCTTCCATCCATTGTTCCATCTTCCTCGGGGACAGCCCTTGACAAGTGGGGCAGGGCAGATGGCCCTGGTTTACAGATGGGGATGCCGAGCCCAGCTAGTCAGTGGTGGGTCCAGATGAGTACCCTGCCTCCCGCCTTCTGGATCTGAGCTTGCCCATGGCCATGGGCATAAGGTCTGCCGTGGACACACCCCCCTCGCAGCCTCCAGTGTTAGTTGTGGGCTTTCTTGCTTCTCTGCCCTCCTTGGGCTTGGCTTGGTTTTCCTGTTGGTTGCACTGGGTGACCCTCGGCTTACCCTACCCGGAATCCCACGTTCTGACACCTCCACGTCAACGAACTTGCATCCACTGTCCCTGCGGATGGGACAGACTCCTTCCTGTTCCTGGACTAGAGAGCCCTCACCGCCCCGTGGCAGTTCAGGCTTGAACTTGTGATTCTTGAGGATGGAGAAGGAGGAGCTCTGTACATGGAGATGAAAGCCCCGGGCCGCTTACCGGGGACATGAAATTGTGACTTCAGGCCATCTGGGCTTGTGTTTGCTCAGCTGGAAAATGGGGATAGTAACTCCAGCCTTGTCTGTTTCATTGGGCAGTTGTGGAAGTCAGATGAGGTCATGAGCGTGGAAGTGCCCTGCAGACAGCAAAGTCTGCTCCAATTAAGAGGGATTACGACTGCTATTATTATCCACCCATAGTGACTGCACTGGCTCAAGTGGCAGCAAACACATACCCAGCCCTGGATCTGGTGCTGATGGAGTGAACACACTCACTCTGGTGAGCAAGTGGTCATGCCAAAAGACAGCAATGATCTGGACAGTCCTGCCCAAGGCGCAGCGGGCCTCCTCCCCAGCCACCCACGCCCACAGTGCACATGCTGGCTCACCTGGCACACCTCCTGGGCACCCTGGGCTGGCTCCAGCAGTGCCAGGGAGCTGCCCTGGGAGGGTGCAGAGACAGAGGTCTAGGAAAGCCAGGCCTGGGGCAGGGGTGCTCCGTAGCGGCGCACAGGGAGAAGCAGGCTTGGTCTGCAGCCCGAGGAGCCTGGCAGAGGTGCCAGGGAATCTGGCACAAAGAGCAGTGTGGTGAGCCAGAGGGAAGGGGCGGGGCTCCCCACTGGCCCCTTGGCTGCCTGGCCCCACCTGCCCTGCGCCTTCTGCCACGCCTACACAGTTTGATTCTTCTGCACTGCCAGGCCTTTGCTTGTGCGTCCTCTGGGCTGGCAGCCGGTTCCTGCTCCTCACTCCTCTCCTGCTTTAGTCTGCCCTGGATTACGGTTTTCAGTGGACCAGTGGTTCTCAGTGGGACCCTCAAGTCAGCCACGTCAGATACCCTGGGAAAGTGTTGGAAGTGCAGAGCTCAGGCCCCAGCCACACCTGCCAGGTCAGGAACTTGGGCTGGGCCCAGCAGTGATTCGTGTCTTAAGCAGCCCTCCAGGGGATTCTATTGTCCACAAACAAATCCACTGGCGTGGATAATGTCCACTGCCCCTAGAAGCTGATCTTGGCCCTTCCGTGGGATTTCCCAGGGCCTCCAGTGGCACAGAGTAGATGCCCAGGACGTGTCCCATGGGTAGGATGCAAAGGAAACCCCTCCACAGGAGGGTAATGAGGCCGCGTCAGGCAGGTGGGTCCGTCTGGGGAAAGGTGCTGGGCGGTTGCGGTGTGGCTGGGAGTGTGCAGGGAGTGTATGTCTCTGAGTGCCCTCTGGCATCCTTGGGGTGGGCAGGGAGTGCTGCTCGTGGAGGCTGGGAGAAAGCAGGGCTTGCGTGGGGTGCTGTGGGGCTTGGGTGGGTGGGTCAGGTGGGAAACATGGCTACAGCTGGGAGAGGGCTGCCCTGGAGGGGCTGGGGGGGCTCAGAGTTCCGGAGGTTCCCAGGAGGGGGCTGCCCTGTGTGTGTGGGGAGGGGACGGAGGCAGCAGCGGGGAGACCAAGGGGGGGGCCTGCCTCAGATCCCCACCTGTGAGTTGGTCCTATGGGTTGGCCAGGGGTCCAGGTCCCTGGGCTCAATGCTCCTCCCCTTCTTCCGGCCGCCAAACTGTAATGGCCGAGATGTTGCCGCCTGCCAGCACCTGTCCACACACGATCACATTTAACTGTTACGATTCCCAGTAAGGTTGGCACTGGTATTTTCATTTCCTTCCTCCTTTCCTCCCTTCCTTCTTCCCTTCCTTCCCTCCTCTTGCAGGCTAGGGATCAAGCTGGAAGGTACATTACCACTGAGCTACATCTCCAACCATTTTTACTGATGATTTTGAGAAAGGGTCACCATACGTTGCCCAGAATAGCCTTGCATTTATGATCCTTCTGCCTCAGCCTCTTGCGTGGCCGAGGTTACCAGTACGTGCTAGCACGCCCCGCTTCACTGCCTTCCTTCTTAAGACTAAACCAGAGCTCAGAGAGGTTCAGTCATTGGCCAAACGTCACATACTCGTAGGTGGCAGGACAGGAGCTGAAGCCTGGGCAGCTTGGCACCTGTGCCCTTCAGGCTGGCTCCCTTATGAAAGGGAGCAAACAGGGCCCTTCAGCTGTGTGGCTTGGTAGTCCTGCCCCAGAGCCTCCCGCAGCAGGTCGAAGGATGCTTATTTAGACTCAAAGTCAGGATCCTTGGAGAGGCCTGACCCTGTGCGGTGGTGCTTTCCCCCGGGGGTGCATGTCGAAGGCATTTCATCTCTAGCTGGAGCACACGTGTGCAAGCCCGTGGACATGGATCTGCACACGCGCACACATACCCAGACTGCACTTCGGTCTTCGCGGAAGACGCCACAGTGGGCACTTGCCTGTCACTGCCCTTCCCTCCCTCTCTGCCTCCCTCTCAGTTTCTGACTTAGGTGCCTTTGCACGTATCTACTGCCTGGTAGGGCCCCACAAGTTTGTTGGGTGGACTGAGTAACATTCCTGGAGGACATAGAAGGACAGGACAGCAAGGTACAAAGCTGGCTAGGCTGTGGCCCCACTCCAAGGTGGGGGACTGCTTGGTGATATAGCCCTCTCCTGTGTGGAGCAGAAGGTGCAGCGGGCATGCGTGCATGTTTGTGCTGGGGAGCACAGCAAGTGTGTGTGCGTGTGTCTGGATGTACGTGCACGTGTGTGTGGCCAGGGCCAGAGTTCCTTCCTTTCCTTTCTCCTAGGCATCCAGCCCAGAGGCCTGGCAAGCCGTGATTTCCCCTGGGGTCTGAGTACTTCCTCCGCTCTGGTACACAAGCTCAAGGGCACCTTGGGTGGGGTCCCTGGCAGCTCCCATCTTGCTAGTTCCCACAGGCTCATGAGTCTGCAGGGACAGAGCATTCTGGGACACACTGCTCTGCAATCTGATGTCCCCTTGTGGGCTCTTCGGGTTGGCTGGTCACTACAGGGTTCTTTCAAGAGTTGAAACAGTTATAGAAAAGCCACTTTCTCCCTCTGCCTTCAGGCACACAGCACTCAACAGTGGCAGGAACATTTCTGCTTAGTGAAGTTATCAGATGCTCAGACCCATTCCACAGGTGTGTGCCGAGCAAGGAAACAGCTCCTTGCCAGCTAGCGATGTTTAAATGAGATGGTGTGTGTAAGCAGTTAACCCGGGAACCTGGCACATACCGTTGGCCACATCTTCGGGTAACTATCGCTTATCCATCTGTCCATCAGTCTGTTTGCCTGCCTGTCTGCCCTGTCTATACACTTACCTCCTGCACCTTCATGGTTTAGGGCTGCCACAGCCCCACACACTGCAGGGATGTGGGGGAGGTGCAGGTGGCCCAGGGAGGGCTGGGGGTGGGGTTGGAGTTTGCTGTGAGTCTGGCATATGGAGGGAAGCTCCTTTCTCTGGGTCTGCAGGCACAAGAGGCCTGAGGTCCCTTCACCCACTGCACAGAAGCACACCCGAAAC